CCCGCTCCCCCCTCCCCGCCCCCGCCCCCGCCCGCAGAATGTCATCCCACTCGAGGGCGAGCTCTTCCCCATCTCCGTCGGGCGGACCTCGCGCACCCTCATGCGCTATCACGAGAAGCTGGCGCACACGGCTCCGATGCACTTCCACGCGGCCACCCACGGCGCCACCCGGTTGCTGACCATTCCCGAGTGCATGGCCGTCGTTCGGCACTATGTGGAGGAGTACAGCACGCACTTCGAGCTGCCGGAGTCCTTCCGCGCGCAGGCCGAGCGTGAGGGAGCCAACCTCGGCCAGGGGAGCCTGACTGGGGCCTTCGGCGCCGGCGCGCGTCTGGTCAACCACTGGCGCATGCGCTTTGTCGCGGCGGCCGGCGTCAGCGGCCTTGTCGCGCCCTCGTCGCAGGATGACGTGCTGTGCCTGCTGCAGGCCATGTAAGTGGGCCGGCAGCCGCCGCCTGGGGACGGGGCCTTGCCCCTCGTCCTCCCTCCTTCCCCCTTCCCCTTCCCTCTCTTCCTCCCCCCCTTCCAGTAGATCCCCAATTCCCCCCCCCCCATTCATTCTTCTCGCCTCCCTCTCCTTTAGACTTCCTCCTCCCTCAGGTGGTGCGTGCGTGTGTGGGAGTGCGTGGCCTTCCTCGTGGGCGGCTAGTGTGCGCTCGCATGGGCGGGCGTGGCCAAACGGGGGGGGGGGGGGGTGATGGCCCGGAAGGGTGCCGAGGGGGGACCCGGCGAGGCGAGGCAGATGGCACACCCCGGAGGGCTGTGCATGCGGCAGGGGGGAAGACCAGAGGGGGGCCAGGCGGGGGAGCTCGCCTCTCCGCTTGCCTTGACGAGCGCGCATGGCTGCGCGTGTGACACCCTCGTGTCCTGGCCAGGGGCCGGGCGTGGCGTTGCACGTGTGCCCGTCCTCGCCTGGGCCGGAGCTGCTGCGCATGTGGCTAGCCGGCCGGATGCCTGCATGTGATGATGCTCCCCTCCCCCCTCGCCATGTGTGCGTGCTCCCCGGGCTGCCTGCCCCCCAGGCCAGGGAGAGAGGGGGGGAGGGCGGCCTCCCAGCGCAGGCCGGTTGCGCCTCGCGTCCTCCATCCCCCTCCCCCCTCGGGTCCTCTCGCCGCTGCCTCTCCGCGCCGCATCCCCCCTCTCCTTGCCGCGCCTCCTGTACTTGTTTCTCCCAATGGCGTCCGGCCC